TATTCAGATGTGTGCAGCGCATTTTATGGAGGACTGTTTCCTGATCCTGGAAGAGTAGACTACAATGCCGTCTGTTCTGACTCACAGACTGTAAGTACGTTTTTTATATATTAAGAATTTGCCACTGACGATTCAAACGTGAGTTTTGGGCAGTGTAGAGTAGCGCTTGTTGTTTGTCATTTCTCCGATCACAAATGCAGACATGGTTTTATGTTTACGCGTCGCGATACGCAACGCAACGCGTAAAAACACAATATAAGTCATTATAATCAGTAATGATGTCCCCACTGGATGCAACAAATGCCTCGTTTGTAATGGGTTTTATTGGTTTTGTCTTGCCGTGCCGGGAGACGACATCACAGTATGTTAAGGGGCGTAACATTTCCGTCACATGCTTGAGGCATTCAGCCAATCGCAATGCACTGGATAGCTGGCCAATCAGCATACACCTCGCTTTTCAGACCGATGAGCTTTGTAAAAATCGACGCGTTTCAGAAAGGCGGGGCATAGAGGAGCAACAATAATGTACATTATGTGGAAAATAATGTGTTTTTTTAATCTTAAACCGCATAAACGCATTTCATTACACCAAATACACAACATAATGTTCTTTTTAGCAACGTCATATGACCCCTTTAAGATTATTCTCTACTGACAATTCTAATAAAACATAAATTGTTTAAGTTGAAGTGATAAAAAGAGGAGAATTGTGTTTGTACTTGAAGAATTCACATCCTGAAATTATAAAAATAGTTTATGCAATAGTTTATTACTTTAAATAGCATAAAATAGTTTTAACAGGGTGGTCATATAATGTGGAGGGACGTCTTTTATGACTTCGATAATAATAAATGATCAACTCAAATCTAAATAAATATATAAATGCACTATCATTGGCTGCAGTTTTTAGTGAATCCCTCTTTTGTTCTAGATCGGATAAGCATATTAATGACATATTTTGTGTTTAACGACTGTTTTAAAGATGGTTGTCCAATAATAATGGTCTCTTAGAGACTTGAGGCATGTACACCTGAACAAGTTTCTGAAGAAAACAACTAAAAAAACACCTGGAGTGGGAAAACGCAGCACTGACATCTGATCCATCTGAGAGCCAGAGTTTGGATCCTTTCATGTGTCCATAAGGGCTGAAGCAAGACGGGCAGTCTTAGAGAGATGCCTCACAATGTCCATCACTGCAGCAGTTTGTCTTCATCAATCATCTCGCTGTTTGTTGACCATAACAACAGGATGTCACAGTTATTTTTATAGATCTTGTTATTGGGGTCTGCCCTCTCACAGCAGGAATTTCCTCAGCACAAGGCATCATGGGATGTGGACCTGACGTATTTGCAGGGACCATCTTTGTTCTCTCATGGATTGAATTTTACATAATTTTCATGATCAAATAAGTAAGCCGTGCCATTTTGAGCATGTTTGAATGTCAGACAGCATTTTGATGTCACGCTTTAGATTGTGGCGTATAAGTGTTGCTGTATCTGGTTGCTTTCTAATGAGCAGCTTATGTTATCTGGCATTGGGTGTTACCAGCAGACCGATGAATGGAGCTCACGTCAGTGTTTTCTCGTCTGGAGACGCAGCTGAAGTTTAAGAGTCAAGGTCACACAGACCCCTCGCCTTCATCTGTCAGCTCCTTTTGATCTGCAGACGCTTTCCTCCGTCTTTCTGCACGCTCTGCCTTTAACACGGGGTCAGAGGTCAAAGCAGGGCAAGGCCACAGGATCCCAGCCTCCTTTTCCTCTGCTAGTTTTCCTTTCTGTCTTTCTTTGTTTCTAATATTGCCCCGTGAAGTATTTGTTTATTTCAAAGTTCATATTTCTTTAGCTTTTATAAGATACATATGTCAATATCCACGCTCGGCCCCTGGTCCCAATCGGTAGCCCCTCAGTTGCCATGTTGAATCAATGTTTTGAACAGAAATGCAATAATGCCAGGACCTTCACGGCGGGGGTTTCCATTTGTCATATCATAAACAGGTGCTAAACATGAGGATTAGTGGTTCTGAGATCCACGGTCTTCCCTTGGATCGTGTTATCTGGGTACTGGATCCCTGACGCATTCTGTCAGATTGAACAACGGGGCCCTTGTGCTGGCCACGGGCGTCTGCAGGGCCCCAGACTTGGTCACAGGTCATTGATCAGTGTGACAAGAAACTCTGTCTGGTTCTGGTTAGATGGAGGCTGCCTGGAACCGACCTCAGATTAGAAATGAAGAGAGGTCAAAACAAGAAAGAGCTGAAGGCTAGTGTTATAACTGATTTTCACAGCGCAGGAATGGACAGGCAGTCAGATGAATGGTAGTATACTACTTACTTAGTATGTTCTGTATACTACAATTTTTCTGAACACTACAATTATTTGTCCCATTGATGTATACTTATGAACTCTGTCATTTTTTAGCACAACACGTGTAAGTAGAGCATTCACACTTTGAAATTCCAACAAGAAAAAAAGAGTTCTTCAAATGATGGATGATGTACTTATTTAACCCCCCCCCCCCCCAAAAAAA